TATTATGTATGTCTCTGTGTGTGTATATTATGTATGTCTCTGTGTGTATATTATGTGTGTCTCTGTGTGTGTATATTATGTGTGTTCAGGTTCCTGCAGAGGAAAGATGAGGGCACGGGATGCCCTGGAACTGGAGTGACAGACAGCTGTGAGCTTCCATCTGGTTGCTGGGAACCAAACTCGAATCCTTTGGAAGAACAAGTTTTCTTAACTGCTGAGACATTTTTCTACCCTCTTTCCCAAAATAGGACTGTTTTATTGTTCTCCTAAGAGAATGACACCTTAATGACTAAGTCATGTCCATCTGATGTCCTCCATGACTCTCTCCTGAGCCAGAAACTTTCATCTTGTGGAATTCAGCTGCTTCCCAAGTGCAGAAGAATGATCCCAGCTGGTCTGGCTGACTATAGGACCCCTCCTCACCTGAGTATCCAGCTGCTCCCTGCTGCCACCTGTTTTGTTTGGTGCTGATGTAATTGTGCTCAGCCTGGAGGGGGTCGGTGGGGATGACTAGAGTAGAGCTCCATCCCTGATGCTACAGGGGCGACCTCATGTCTCCAGGGTAGAGGCTTTCCAGGTGTGGCCTGTTGGGGAGATGCACCCACACCCCTATAAGTACGCCTCACCTGTGCTCTGTAAGGAAGCTCAATAAGCTCATTGGTTCCCCAAAGTGAACTTTATAGATGTTGTGTCTTGGTTTGTCATTAGGACCCTAGGGGCAGGAAAAGGTCTCCCCAAGGGAAGGGATTTTAGCTGCAAGAGACTACAGTATCTACATTCCATTCAGACTTAATGGGAAATGCCAGGTACAGTCATAATTGTTACAGACAAGGTAAAGATTATAGATAGTCTGGGAGCATCTAGGCTGTCTTTAGGTTTCTAGCCTCTTCTCTTTTTCAGTGCCAGGAATAGAACCCAGTGCCTCACACATGCAAGGCAAGTGCTTTACTGCTGAGCACCCTCCCCCACCCCTTGTGGCCTTTCCTCTTCAACTTTAATCCATGGTACCAG